ACCCCGCTTCCCCACCCCTCCAGCCCCAGCCCTACCTGGCCCTGGGCGCACAGGCCGGCCTGGGTGTAGGGCCTCTCCTCCGCATCGCCGTCGGCCGTGCTGGGCCTCCTCAGAGCCTCCTCGCACTGCAGGCTGCACAGGGTCTCCACATCCACATCAAACGTCTCATCCGAGCAGAATATAGCCTCGAGAATGTCGTCATCGGTCGTGAACAAGATCGTGTCTCCAAAGTGCTCTGGGGCTGAATGGGTTACAAGGAGGACAAGGCTCAACTCACCCCAAATCCCAATGATCTGTAGATCAGGAGCCCAGAACCATTAACCTTTGTGCTATAAAACCCCAAACCACCGACAGTTCTCCATCTGTGCAGAGAGAGGTGTTGGTCTTCACACATTGGCAAGTGGATTCATGCACCGTAAGAGCCACACAGATCTAATGCAGAGACCTGATGGGAGTCAGTGCGATGGGTCCTGAGACGAAGTGTGGGGGCACACTGGAGCAGGTGTCGCCCCACACAGATTCCTGTTGACCTTTACGGGGAGGGATGGGAGCCCTGCCTGGAAAGACATGGGAGTTATGCCCCTATCCAGGAGTCTGCAGGGCTCCAAATCCCTGCCGGTCTACCTAAAGGCAGGAGAGATCCTGCACTTTACACTCCAGGGCTCCCCTCGGCTCAGGCTGAAGCTGGGCTGCCCGACACTACATCCCTGCTCAGCTTTTCCTGCCCATATCCCGCACCCCTCCCTGCCCTTGGGTTCTCCTGAGAGAGCTCCCTCAGTCAGCACCTCGCAAAAGATTCGCCCTTCTCAGGCTCAGGCACATCCCCAGCCCAGGAGTTTAAGGAAGTCAGCTCTGGTACATCCACCCTGCAGAGGTGACAAGTGGGCAGGTCTATGAAAGAGGAGAGACCCATCTGCCACTGGGTAGCCAGAGCCTCAGCACGCAGCAAGGGGCTTCAAGAACATTCTCACAGACATACTGTACCTCCCATCAGGGTCCCGGAGGCCTTGGCGATCTCCCCGTTGAAGATGCACTGTGTGTCTAACAGGATCTCCATGTCCTTCACACCGCGGAACGAGTGTATCCGCGACTTGTTGTAATTCCAAATCCTGATCAGCGCAACGTGGCAAGGGTGCACGAAGTCGATGGAGATAGAGTGGGGCTTGCCCGGCGTGAAGGGGGCCAGCCAGACGTGCATGTCGTCCTGCGTCCTGTTCACCCCGTCGATGAGGTTGGTGACCACACGAGGGTCCTTCCCATAAGCAGGTAAAATATTGATGTCAGGGGGATCTGCTTGGATGTTGGCAATTTGTACGGGCTCTCCCTTAGAACTGAATATTTCTATTCCGTTCAGGCCAACATAGTGCCTGTCCCCCCATGTAGACTTGATGTCAATGACCAAGTGCTGGCCATAGGGCAAGACAGGGATTTTAAAGTCGTCCCCATTGTCTGTGTCTATGGGGCAGTTATCCTGCCCTTGCCTGGGCGCCGGCTGCTCCTTGCAGGGTGGTGGCTGGGTGCTGTGCCGGCTGCTCTTCTGCTGCTGCAGGAACTCGTCCAGGATGTCCCCCTGGAACTCCATGTTGGAGATGCGTCCTCGGTGGGAGTGGTTGAAGGCACTGAGGGAGCTCCACGACTCGTGCAGTGTGTATTCCTGCTCGCTGCGCCACTGGGACCGTGGCATCCTGGTGGACCAGGCATCTTCTGGAAGAAAGGGCACAGGAGGGGTGAAGCCCCAGTAGTGACACGTGAGGAAGTGGGGACCCTTAGACAGTGTCTCATCCAGTGGCTCTTGGCGGGGTACAGCCGCCCTTAGGGGGTCATTCTAGAAACTGGTGAGGCTGCTCTTGGCTGTCTCAATGCCCACAGACCCTCCTGGCATGACGGGTGGGGCCAGAGATGTTAAAATCCCGCACTGCAGGGGACGGTCTGGGCACAGAGCACGGTCTCCTGTCTCACACATTCAGGCTGGCGGAAAATTGTTTCTGGTCACCCAAGCCTGGAACCTAGTTGTTTTACAAAAAGCAAAGTATTTTTCACTGTGCTGAATTTTCTAAGCATGCGGCCTTGTGCACATCCAGGGAGGCCTATCTGGCTGTATTCGAGCCTTTGCCAGAGTCTCCACTTCAGACCCACATGACCAGCACTGTGCTGCTGCGGGTGACCCGAGTCAGCAGCCCCAGGGTCTACTCCTCAGGCTACCCTGTCACTCAACTTGATCAGTGCTTTCAGAGACTGCCTAGTGACAGTGAAAGGCTTGTCAAAGGAAGTGAGATGAGAAAAAGCCAGCTATGCCATTTTAGATGTGGCCTACCTAGCGTGGGCAGCCTGCGCCGACGTGCTAATACTATCTCCCCGCTGGTGAGCAGGAAGGGCTTTTCTTTTCTCCTTTGTCACCTTATCTTCTAAGTTCCCCATGTGTATTATTTTTACAACCAGAAAAATGCTGAAACAACCCAGGTGCATTACACGGAAAGGACTTCACTTCCACATACGGCCAGATCGGCTTGGAGAGCTGAAGATGTGCCCCATGCATGTGGCGAGCAGGGGCCTGGTCCCCAGAGGGTGGCCTCTCAAGGCCCCGCTCTCTGCGTGCGCATCAAGTAGTGGCCTGTCCTGATGGCCGCACCATGGCTAAGTGCCGTCTAAGGGTGTCATCCTGGAAAAACAGCAGCTGGTGACACGGACATTCTGGTTTTTCTCCTTTCATATCAGCCGTGCCCTGCACTCCATTTTCTGCCTGTCTCCTAGGGGGCCTGGATCCATCAATTATCTCTTCTCTCCAGAATCTTCAATCACTCCTTCCCCACAGGCACTTTCCCTCTCTGCCTGCAGAGGTGCATAAATCTCTCCGGCCTGGAGAAAAGGGAAATGGCCAATCTGTGTCTCCCTCCTTCCACTGCAGCAACTGCAACCCCATCCCCACCACCCTCTCACCCCTGCAACCTGCCTCCTCTCTGTTGAGTTACTGTTTTGCCCCCTCACACTACACTTTCCCTTCTCCTAGGAACAACATCCTGGTTTTCGCTTGGGGATCCCCCCATTTTCAGGCCATTCAGATTAGGCGAATGTTGACAGCATATTTCCAAGCTGGGCACATGTAATGAACCAAGGGAGAGAGGGGCTCTCTTTAAACTGGAGCTGCTGAGCTGGTGGAATGTAGGTGTGCAGTTGCCTGTGGCCATCGCTGCCCTGTGTGGGCAGCCTGCCCGAGAGGGAGGCCAACGTGCAGAACAGGAGCTGGGAGATGGACTCCTGATGACATCGTTCAAGCCCTGGGATCCAACTGCATCAGAGGTCACATGCCACCCAGCTGGCATGGCTCAGTGGTTGAGGGTCGACCTATGAACCAGGTGGTCACAGTTCGATTCCCAGTCAGCGCACATGCCTGGGTTGTGGCCTCGATCCCCAATAGAGGGCTTGTAGGAGGCAGCTGATCATGACTCTCTCATCATTGATGTTCCTATCTCTCTCTCTCCCTCTCCCTTCCTCTCTCTGAGATCAATAAAGACATATTTAAAGAGAAAAAAAAAGAAGTCACATGCCTGGTGGCTTTCTGTCTCTTCATCCACGAATCCCACAATTTCCACAGCCCTCCACGGAAAAGACCTTCTCCAGGCTCACAGGGATCCAAGCCCACAATCTTTCCTCAGTCCTCACTCCACACTAGATGTCCTAGGCCCAGCTCCTCCTGTGGCTCAGGAGAACTTGTGCCACCCTTGGGCACCACCTTCCAATGCCAACAGCCCCAGAAGGTCCAGACATGTCCACTCTGTCACTTCAAAGTCCATGTGCCTAAAATGGAGTCTGTCACCACCCCCCTAAGTGGCATTATCTCTGCCACGTTGAGAACAAGGGAGATCAAAGACAATCCACTCCTCGCCCAGCTGGCCCTGCTACCTTTCTCGACCTCACCCGCTCCAGCTGCATGGGCCCTCCCATTCTCTGGGCACACCAGGTCTCTTCTTATCTCAGAGCCTCTGTCCTTGCTGTGCCCTCTGCCAGGAATGCTCTTCCCTCAGATCCCCAGGTAGCTGGCTCTTGTCACCCTCCTCGTCGGAGAGGCCTGCTCTGCCCTGTTCCCTGCTGTGTCCCGCTGCCTGGCACAGAACTTGGCGCAAGGAAGTGCTCAGTAAGCGCTGCCAGTAAAGGGGTGGACAGCCGGCATCACCTTCCCACCTGTGTTCAGACCTGGAGGCGGAGGGACTCCCTCTCCACCTGCCAGTTCTCCCGCACCTGTCATCTGGCACAAAAAAGACCCCAGGAGTCTCTTCCATCCTTTCTTCCAGGCCTGAGGCTTAACATCTGGCAGAAGGGGCTTCCCATATGGATCATCCATGCTCGGTTTACTGTATTTGATTTCCATGGACTGAAATGAATGGGCTGGGTCAGTCTGCAAGTGCACCGAGGAAGCAGCACCGAACGTCACGAGTCAGGGACTCAGCCTGTCTCTCCCTGCCGGGGTGTAAAGATGTGGTGCTTTCACTCCACATCTGCTTTCTGACCTCTTCTCCCCCAGATGTACTCTGGGTTTTAATAGCAGAGAGGTGCAGACCCTCTCCTAGACCTCGCAGGTGTGACAGCAGGCTAGGGGCCTGCATTCCCCTCTGTCTGCAGGAGAACACTCTAGTCCCTGGGGGTTGGGGAGCTGCTGGGGTCAGTGCTCTGTCCTTGGTCAATACCCCCACCTGGAAATCTGAATGGGCAGCAGAAAGCTGCTGCTTAAGTCTGCAGTCAGCACAGCCTGGGAGGGATCACTGATATGAGATGATGGGACTGAAGATGAAAAACTCTTCCTGGGTTGAGACTAACATGAACTATAGAGTTCTGCACTTTAGTTTATAAAAATCAATGGCACCACCATGAGGCGTACGCTAATTGCTGCTAAAATAGGACATGAAAATGTACACGGTGAGATATTACAGAGCCATGTTTCTTCTCAGTGAACCGCCCTCCAGTCGTAGCTGATTGAACAAGGAGTGGACACCTGACCCGAGCTGGCCAATCAGCTTCTCCCCTGAGACTTTGGCACTGGCTGCTGGCAACAGAGCCAGAAAATTGAATCACTCTAGGGCTACAAGGCCATTTCCTGCTGTGTGCACAAAGGCAGAGAAAGCTGATCCCCCAAGAAGAGTGAGGGAAAGGGGCCTGTGGGAAGCAGAGGTAGGGCCTGGCAGCCTGGACAGACAGGGGGAAGCTTCCTTGGTGCCTGCCAGCTTTCTGGTTGCTCCTCCCAATCCCATGTGATGAGCAACTACAGTTTCCAGCTTGGGGGCCAGGAGCTCCTCAAGCATTCTCCAAATAACACCCCCGTTACTGCTCAAACTGGGCTGACGAGGTATCATTCACCTGCAGCCAACTGACCCTGATAAAGACACTTCCGAAATGCAGATGTCATTACAATGAGACGCTCTGTTGGACAAAAGAATTTCTAGGCTGTCTTATGGTGACAATTCCAGTCCTAGGGAGGAATTTGGCAGCCATGCATTCTACCAGCACTGATGGAAGGCTCGGCTGCACCTTTCCCGAGGGCATGGCTATGGGGTCTGGCTCTATGTAATGGGTGATTTAATATTTTGAAGCAACTTTTCTTTTTATCACGTCTGGCTTAACAAGCATGACATCTTAAGGGCTCAGTTTCTTAATGTGTCACTGAGCCAAGCAGTAAAATGTCTGGACCGAAATTAAAGCGAGACAAAGTCTTCCAAACTTGGACACTTTAGAATAATGCCATCACCTCACAACTCCCGGAAGCTCTGTGGGTCTGTTTACCAGGAAAGCTCCAAACTGCCGGGCTCTTAGTGATTCAAGTGTGGATGCTGGAGCAGGACCACGTGGGTGCAAGTTCTGCTCTAACTCGTACTGGCTGTGTGACCGGAAGAGAGTTACTGAAACTTCACATTTTCTTTATCTATAAAAGGGGGCTGGCATGAGGATTAAATGAGCTCCTCTGAGTACTGTGCCTGGCTGAGGGCCTGGCTCACTGAAGCATGCCCCGTGCCAGCCACCACAGTCCCTCCTTCCCACTGTTCCTTCCACACTCGGGGGACCCACCATGAGCCAGGCACCTGGGCCTGGGGTCCCATCACAGATAACACAGTGCCTGCCCTCAAAAAACTCCTAGGTCCTCCTCTCCCACCCCACTGTCCCCAAATACCCAGAGCAAGGCTGAGTCCTGGCAGGGGTGGGCAAGGCTGGGGAGCCAGCAGGAAGACACTCAGGCCTTACGGACTTGCTCTGGTGCCCTAAGTGACACGTCAGAGTCTGAAAGAGGCCCAGACTCTTCACATTTCTATGTGTAGATGCGGCCTGAATGCAGACCTTGGGGTCTGTCTCCCAGACAATAACAGAGTAGATGCCCATGTGACTCACTAAAAAATATAGCCAGCTGACCCTTGAACACTGGTTTGAACTGAGCAGGTTCACTTATATGCGATTTTTTCCAGTAAATGCGTACAGTACTGTACACGTATTTCCTCCTCAATATCATTTTCTCAGTAACATTTCCTTTCTCTAGTTTACTGTATTGTAAGAATACCTACATGACACATACAACATGCAAAGCATGTGGTCATCAGCTGTTTGTTATTGGAAAGGCTTTCAGTCCACAGCAGGCTCTTAGTAGTTAAGCTTTGGGGGAGTCAAAAGTTATATGTGGATGTTCGACTGCACAAGGGGTTGGCGCCCCAACCCCCGCATTGTTCAAAGGTCAACTGTACACAAGTTTCACCTACAGATATGCCAAGGGGCAGAGTCACAGACTGGGCAGTGATGACGACAACGATGATAAGCAGCAGCCAACATCTGCTGGGTGCTCTGGGTGCCAGGCACTGTGCCAAGTGCTGCACATGGATGACCTCATCTGATCCTCCCAGCACCCATGAGGCAGGTCTTATTGGCATCAGTTTACAGACAAGAGGACTGAGGCTCAGAGCGGTTTGAGGTTTACCCATGACGAGGACCGGTGGTGAGGAATCGGGATTGATGCCCAGGCAGTCCAACCGCACGCCTCGTGCTCCTCTGTGATGCAGGGTGGGGTTAAATAGAGGATCAGGGGTGAGCCCTGCCTTGGCAGGTCTGAGTGCCTTGTGGATGATAAAGGACCGACAAGCCAATGTTGGAAAAATGGCCACCACTTGTGGAGCACTTGCCACGTGCCGGGCTCTGGTGACTGTTCTGAAGTTATCATCTCACTCACCCCTCACAACACTGGGAAGGGGGTGTTCATCCATATTTTATAGACAAAGGTGCTGAGGCTCAGAGAGCAGAAGTGCCTGGCTTGCTGAGTCCCAAATCTATAAGTAACAGAGTTTAGATTCAAATGTTTTGACTCCTAGTTGCTATGCTACACTCCTTCCCAGTAGCCAAATCTGAGTGGAAATATTCAGAAGTCCAGCCTCTGGTACCCTCCTTTCAGATTCCTTAGAGATGATCTACTGCAAAGTTCACAAAGCAGGTAAGTCCTGCCAGCATACATGTATTTTCTTTTTTTGACACTCACACTGGTTTTTAAATAATCATGATAAGTCACCAATGCTGAAAATAAGAATATTCTACATTTCTGATTTCTCTTAATGAAGGGGAAAGGGAGATCCAGCACACTGGCCTTACATTCCTGAAAGTAGCCTGAATGAAGTAGCAGCTGCCCTCTTTAGTTAGGCTTGTGTGCTCCAGTTAGCCACAGTCCTCACCACTCCCTAATGTCCTTACAAAACCCAGGCAAGAGTCAATTGCTATTTATCATCACACTTGTGTTATTTTTCTAACAGTACAGTTAAGAATAAAGTGAAGTAATTAGAGACCAGTGTCTCTATCAAAGGTGGAATAACCAAGTTTAGACTCGAAAAGCCATGTATTTAAAGAAAAAGTGAACAAAGGGACATATCTTGGTGGCAATGACAAATATATCTATAAGTTTAACATGCAAAGTATGTCTTGCCCAATTCACTCATTGCTGCCACCCCTGTGGCTCCTGAGAGAGTAATTTGTGACCCAAAGCGAGAAGAACCCCTCGCTTTGCCGATAAGGAAACTGAGGTCCAGGGAGCAAAGTGGCCTGGTGCCAATGAGCAGCCACCCGCAGGGATGATGGCCCCCAGTCAGACCCTTCTCGAGCTTACCTCTGCCTGCGGGCCAGCCATCACCGTGACCGCTGCTGAGGGCGTCCTTCTTCGGGCCCCTCCTCCCACTAGCAGGGCGCTCCCTGTTGGAGGGCTGGTCAAAGATGTCAAAGTCATCCCTGCAGACTCTGGGGGTCACCCTCTGGGCTCTCTCCCCTGAGAAGGCATTCCAGCTGCCAGCCCGCCCTTGCTCACGCCTGGGGCCTTCATCCCCGGCCTCTGCAGGACCCTCGCCAATGCCATCCTCGGGCAGAAGCCCATCTTTCCAGTCTAGTGGCTTCTCAGGACTCAGCCAGGGGGGTTTGGGCTTCCTGCCTCCCTGCTTCCTGCCTTTCCCAGTGCAAGAGGGCTGCAGCCAGGCCGGGGTTTTCCCTGGCGGCTCAGAGGCCTTTCTGCCTGCGAGGTTTTCCAGCTGCTGAGTCGGGGAGAGCTCCAGGTCAGGCAGGGGGCATTCCGCAGGGGGCCCTGGTGCAGGAGCACTGGGCTCGCAGCCCACCGCGGCTGGGGCTGCTAAGACGCTGCAGTCGGCCTCTAACTTAGGCAGACTGTCTCTCATGCAATCAGGAGAATTCATCCTTTCACCAAATAAAGTTCCCGGTGAAGAAACTGCCACATCCACGACTGCTCCAGCTGGCTGCAAGCAAACGATGCTGAGCTCTGTGCCCCCATCTGTGTCGGCCATCGCGCGGGCACCGCCGCTGTCTTCTGAGTGGGCATCCGTTTCATTCTCCGTTCCCTCCGCCTGCTCGCCTTTCAGGCTGACTAGGATGCTCTGGGCAGCGGGGGCCTCCCCACCTCCTTTGTCTAACTGGCCATCAAAGATGAGGTTTTTGTTGACATAAAGCTTCACATTCTTGGCACCAACGTCAAGATCCTGAAAACACAAAATTTAACAGAACGGAGATGTGTGACGTCAGACTGATGCACCAGGTTTTGAAAGTGGAAGATAGAAGATTGTGGAATGCTAGAAACGTGTGCTTCTCAAGCCTCGGCACTGGGGGCGTTAAATAAGGCTCAGTCTCATTTCTGTGTGAAGCTTACACACTCATAAATCAAAGGATGTTCACAGAGAGGCGGCCTCCACAGTCTCTGTCACTGGTACCTCCTGCTGGGACATCTGTAATGGCCTGCTAATTGGTCTCCCTGCTTCCTGTCTCTGCTGCTCCAACCTCACTTGACGTTGCCACTGGAGGTAATTTCCTACCAGAGCAGATCTGGCCCTGTTAACACCCCTCCCCCCCAGGCCCTCAGGTCTTTCCACTGCCTACAGCAGCTTTCATTACAGGCCGGTTCCTGGGCCCTCGGCAGCAGACAGGCCTGACATGAGCATCGAAGGCAGGCTCCCTGGCTCAATGGGCGTCCTGAAAGCAGAGCCCAGACAAGGACTGAGTGCAGGCAGCTTATCAGGTAAGGTGCTCACTCCCAGGAGGGAGTGGGAGAGTCAGACAGGGACAGAGGAAACCCCAGGAAGGTATCTGAGCTGGTCACTGCTGTAGGCGACTGGGGCTCCATTCCGCCAGGGCGCTCCTAGGAACCCACAGAAGATACCTCAGTGTCCCTCCAAAGGCGGAGGCGGGGGCGTTATCTATGCGCTCCCTTCCCTGCTGTTGAAGGTTGCTCCTGGGGACACTGTGGCTTCGGAAAGCCCCCACCCCCAGCAGAAAGGCAGAGAGTGGAAGCACCGGAGCGCTGCCTGTCAGCCTGCTCAGCTGCCCCACCTGGGCCGCCCTACCTCGGCTGGCTGCGGCTGCGCTGCAGTCAGGGGGCCCGGGGGGGCCCTGTGGGCACTGCGTGTGTAACGGTTCTCCAGGTGATTCCTCTGCACAGGATTGTGGAGGCCTCAGGCCAATGGGATGCATTCTGAACCCCTCAGCTAGGCTTCCTGTCTCCTCCCCGCACCCACATACCATGCAGGTATTCAACAGTTCTTCCTTACCGCTGAAAACGAAACCACACCTCCTCCTACTGCCCTGCTATCTATTCTTCTTTACATAAAAACATTTTTAAAAAACAGCTTTATCGAGGAATATAATACATACCTCATACAGTAAACAGTACATTTTTACCGTGTATAACTTGATAAGTTTTAACGCATGTGTACACCCATGAAATCATCTCTCCAATCAAGATAATGAACACATCACCCCCAAAGTTTCCTTGCATCCCTGGGTAATCCCTCCTCCCCTTTAACCTCTACCCCCAGGCAACCACCATCAGCTTTCTGTCACTTTAGATTAGTTTGCATTTCCTTTTTAAATAAAAGGACTTGTGCACTATGCACTCCTCTTGGCCTGGCTTCTATCATTCAGCATTATTACTTGAAGAGTCATGCATGTTGTCTGAATTAATAGTTTTATTCCTTTTTTTGATGAGGGCTACTTCATCGTTGGGGTACCCCACCATTTGTTTGCCTTGACAGCAGACCCTTCGGGTCACTGCCCTGGCTGCGCACCCCCCCCCCC